CTGGTATAGGTATATAATAACAGAGGTAAGACTTATATAGGTATATCAGTCTGCAATAATATAGCCAAGACTGAATCCAGACTATATACCCAGGAAGCCAAGTATCTGCTAACCTGCGTGGATAAGCTACCTCCTGAGAACAGCTATCAGGACAGTACTAATAGGATATCCGATCAGGAAAATAACTGATATAATAATACTATAGCTATATACTAACATATAATCACCACCTTTAGAGCTATTAGAACCAAAATCAGAACTAGAATCAGAGTTACAATCACCGCTGGTATTATTACTCAATAAACTGATAAAGGGGTTACTATCTAAGCTAATAGTAGCTTCAGCAAAATTAACAGAGAAGCTTATCTTACTATTATACTTCTGAATATTTACTCGCGGATCCGCCAAACTAAGAGAATTACCCTCCCTCTATACTGCAATCTACGAGTTAGTTCCTCTCAATTCTAATATATTATATTCGCTATATCTAATATTAGTAATTATCTTCCTGTTTATAACGCCGGATCCAGCTAGAAGCTGAATATTACTTCTTTCTGAGTACTGAGGTATAATATAACCTATCCCAGTCTATATACTGAGAGTTATATTACTATTACTATCCTGATAGATTATAAAGATATCGGAGTTACTTATACTCGATCTAATACCGAGTCCGACCTACTGGTAACTCGTAGCTACTTTAATCTGGAAGTAGATAATACTGGAACCTGATCTTATTAATTCCTCTGGGATGCCCCAGCGGAAAGAGATAGCTTTAGAGCTACTAGGATAGTAGGAAGCTATAGTTACTAATATACCGCCGGCGTCTACGGAATAAGAAGTTGATATATCAAGAGATTCAGCCTTTTAAAGTACTAGGTTGGATATATTCTATCTTACCGAGTACTATAATAGCAGTAACCGTCTTGCTAGTAATAAATTTAATATTATAGCGAAGTTATAATTTAATATAATAGAAGTAAATTAATTAGTCTAATTACTGAGAGAGTATATATTTACTTCTGATAGTATATAGGGATCTTGCTTAATATTATCTATATTTAATAGTCTATAGGCTGGCCCTAGCTTAGGATCTATATTTAGTATATATAAGGTTGTAATCTGAAGTAGCAGTTTATTTTCCTATCTATATACTTATATTCGATAGTAATATAAAGGAGTTTAGAGTTTTAGTATCCTACTACTATTTCAGTATAGCTGAAATTATTACCTTTCTAATATTATATCTACAGCTAATAATTAGCTCTAGCTTTATAGAATAGTTTATTAGCTTTTAGAAGTATAAACTGTCTTTTCTTATACTGCTGAGAGGACTGTACAGCTTAGTTCTTATATACTACTAGGAGTTTTAGCGCTCCCTTATACTGTCTGGAAGACTACCTCGATTATAAATCCCTCGCTTAATATCTACTACTACTATCTTAGGATCTTCTTTTAAGGATCTTCTTCTAAGTAATTAAATATATATTAAGTTCCCCTCCGGATTACTTAAAATATTAGTATACTAAAGGCTGTTTCTAGTTCGGTTCCCCGAAATAATTACTCCTGTATATAAAAGTAGTAGATAATAGTAAACTCTACTAAAGAAGAAGATTAATACTATAAATAGGAAAGGTATCTCTTAGCCTTAAAGTATATATCTTATAGCTAACTATTAAATATATATTATAATATTATAATACTTGAAGTTAGTTATAGTAATATAATAATTCTAAGCTAGTATATATATATTTAGATCTCTACTTTCTAAATCTATAGGCTCCTAATATTAATAGCGGTTATATCTATTACTATTAAGGTATTAATATAATAGGTATTATTATAGAGCTATACTTCTACTTTAAGGATAGCTTTAGGACTGTCTGTAACTGTACTATAAAATACCTAGGATAACTAACTAGTTATATAAACTGGGTGTAGAAGTATAATTTTATACCGGGGGATAGTAATAAGAGGCTATATAATCTATATAATAGTCCTAATCTATTAAGTAATATAATACTTATATATAATATAGTAAATAGTATAGGATTTAAGCTGCTGTAAGCTAGTAATAACCTGTAGAAGGGTACTAATATACCCTTAACTTTCTTAGGCTCTGTAGGGGTAAAGCCTGATAAGTTTAGGATAACTGGCTTTCTGGTATAAGATCTGAATAGAGAATAGTTCTATTAGGGTAGATTAAATAGGTTTAGGTTTTAATTTTCTCTCTCTTAGGCTTAGAGAGGTAGTAAGAATAGGGAAGGTCTTAATCTATTTAATAAAAATATTAAATCTTAAAAAGCTTAAAAGGGTTACTTACTTCTATTATACTAGTAGCTGTATTATAAGTATAAAACTAACTTATACTTACTTATTAAAGGGTTATTATAAACTATAATTATTAACTAAATTAGCAGATACTATACTAATTAGGCTTTAAGTCTTATTATAACTTTCTAAAATTAAGTACTGATCTATATACCTTCTATCCAGCGCCTTTTTAAGGAATTCTTACTAATTGAATTACTACTCCCTTAGGGCCTTAAGGAGATATATATCTAGTATTATCGGCTGACCCTCTAAAATTATTATACTATAGTAGATATACTTATAAATAGATACAATTGGAGAAATATCCTGGCTGTTTAACCTATTAGCACTAGTAAGAGCCTAAAACTAGTAGTATAATTATACTTAGACTAGTTATATAGAGATATAAGCACGATATATATTTATCTGATTACTGATAACTATTCCTTACCTCCTGGAAACTTAACTGGCTATATAAGGTTAAAAGGGGGGGAAGGGGGGGGAGGGGGGGGAACCAGCTAAATAAGGTAAAAGGAGGGCGGACGGCGAGTATTTAACCAGCTATATAAGGTAAAAGGGGGATTAGGTTTTATATCTAGTACTATAATAATACCTATACGAATAAGTTAGTTATAGTATAGTAGCAGTATAAAAGCTCTTAGCTATTAGGTATTTAACTAAGTGTATAAATTATATATATATAGAGAAAATCTAGCCTCCTAACTAAGGCTGCCTATAGCTATCCTTATTATATTTTAAGAGTATAATAGTATTATATACCTGTTATTATAAATATTAAAAATATTAGTTAGTATACCTTATTTAATATTATTAACTATATATTATATATCTCTTAATTTTACTATCTTAGCTGTGCTTACTATAGGGGTATTATATAAGACCTATAGAGTTAAGGTTAGTAAGGACGGGCTGAGATATACTCCTGATACTATAAAGGCTGATAAGGGAGATATTATTAAGTTCTATTTTAATATAATATATAGTATTATCGCCAGCGACTTTAAGAAGTTATATACTCCAGTTACTAGTGGAGGATTCTATTCTGATACCCTTCCTATAGGTAATAAGGTTAGTAACTTATTACTTTATTACTCTAGTAACTGTCTTAAGCGTATATTAGCTTAATACTAGTAAGTATAAGTTATATATCTATCTCTTTATAAGCTAATATTTACCCTGTAAGTTATTCTTTTTAATTACTATTAATAATAGTAACCCTGTATTCTTCTACTGCAGTATTAATAATCACTACCAGGCCGGTATAGCAGGCATTATCAGCCAGGGCTCTGATATACTCGATAAGTTTAAGAATACTGCTAAAAATAGTGCGAATAGTATTAGCCCCCCAGCTATATTTAGTAGTACTTTAGGAAACAGCTCTAGTAATATAATAAGTATAATGATAAGCTTACTAATATCTATATCGCCTATAGCTATAATAACTAAAGTTTTAATAATTAGGAATATAACTATATCCGGATTACCTTTATCCTTATTAAACAGTAGCTACTAGCCAGGTACTACTGGATATTTAACGGGTCTAATTATTAGTATAACTTATCTTACCCTAGTTATCAGGGGTATATTTATATTATAAAAGGGAATTCTGAAAATAGTATTAAGCTGCAGAGGTTAATAGCTAGGAGAAGCAGATACTTTATAAGATAGGGCTTAGAGGAGCTATTAAGAATAAATTAAGGTATTCTACTATAGTGGTATTCTACTATAGCAGTATACCCTATATAAGCCTATTAGTCTTAGTATACTTACTAGGAAAAGATAGCGGTATATAAGACCTAGTACTCTTTTAGAACTAATGTAATCTATAAGCGAGCGGGCTACTTCTTATTATACCTTAAAGTAGGTTTTTTCTAATAGCTATTTCTAGCTTAGTTTTAGCTTAAAAACCCTACTTTTTCCTATATAGAGATAATTAATAAGATCTCCAGGATTAGCCTATACCACCAGGCCTCTTGTATATTAGATCCGCCTCTCTATAGCTGTTCGGAATTTCCTAAGGGCCTAAAGGTACCAGTACTGAAGGATTATATTGTTAATGAAAGCTGTAAATTGTAGGATATAATCTGTTACCTATATAAGTACAAAGAGTGATTATTTTATGATAATAGTCCGCTATAGAGGTTTGACTCCCCCGAGGATCTAGAGACTGATATTAAGGAGAATTCGAATATTGGAGCTATCGTTCCAAAATAATATCTACCTACCATTTGGTAAATACCAAACTACTTTATCAGCCCGACCAAGGTGTCGAGTATACCTAGCTAGTCTGAATTTGCAAATGAATTAGACCACTTCCTAATACCTTACTGTATATACTGTACAGTATGTAATAAAAATCCTCCAAAATAATAAGGCTTTTAAATAAAAAAAAGATAGATTAATTGATCGATTGATCTTATGCATGTATAAAACGTGCTACTTACTCTTCTAGATTATTTCTAGATAAAGTGCACTATGAGTGAATGGAAGAGGGAGAGACAGACGACTAATTGATTGAGAATTCCGTACAGGCGCAGGTATTCATACGACCATGCGAATAGCCGAAGCTCAGCAGATCATTACTAACCCGCTTTACCCCTAGTACTACTGTTGCGCCCATGAATGGATTCAAGCCATCTTCTTGTACCTCAGTTGCTGATCGTCGCCTATGCTAATGACGCATTGGGTCTAGCACGTAGACACATAGCTACAATAGCAGCATCTGTCTCCCTTTCCCGATTTACATCTCCTACGTATCCGACCTTACTATTACCAACTTGCGCAAATGCGATTGCTGCCTCTGTTAAGTCTTGAACCTTCTCAGAAGGGAATACAACTGACTGTGTGAAAGATCTCTGGTCGGGGCCATAGAGAACTGCTGCTGGTTCCACACCCTTAAGGAACAGAGCCTTCATACTGAATCGAGTGGAGAGGTCTGGTACCAGAGTGGTAGCTAGTTCAGAATTAAGCGCGATATCAGTGCGATGGTAAGCACCAGCCTGCCAGGTTAAGCTAGCCTTTGTAAAAAAGGCCTGATATTATTAGGTTTGGCAAAGCTGCTGAAATAGCCCTATAGTAATGGCGGTTCTACCCTGGCGAATGTAAGATATTATCGCTTCTAATATATATATATCTGAGGAGCGTTAGGTAAGAATAGCGTTAGTAATAAGTATAGCACTCGGTGCCGGGCTTTACTGCAGCAGATCGAGGGTAGCAGCTTATTCCCTACTCTATTGGATATCAGCCTGCCCCCCGAGGTCAGTAAATAATACAGCTAAGTTATTATTAAAAAAGATAGGTATTATAACGAGATAGCTACAGTACGGGGTATTATCTGGGTCGTGGTAGGTATTATAATAACCTAGAAGAGGTAGTATTAAAATTAAGAAGTATAGATATCAGCTATCCTTTATAGGAATCCCCAGTATTAAAGGTAGTAAGGGGTATTTTCTCTACCTCCTCCTACTGGCCTGAGTCTATAATATTAATATAAGATTAGCTATATATATTAGTATATTAGAATAGTCTGCTCTAAGATTTATTATTCCTATCTTATTACCTGTACCTTCCTTATTCTCTTTCTATTCAATATAGTATAAAAGAAATTATACTAGGATTATTAGCAATCTAGAAGGCTTATAAATAAGAAGAGCTTACTTACTAGAATATACTGCTGCTTGATCTGTACTTAGGCTATTACTATATAGTACTATAAGAACTAGCTATTAGAGCAGTAGATAACAGGGTTAGAGGGGTCTGTTTTCCTACTTCAGGATCCTACTCTTAATTATATCCCTCCGGGCAGAGTCTATATATTAGATATATTCCCTTCTACTTATACTATTACCTTGATTATACTACTTCTTCCTATCGTAGTATAGCTCTTTAAGCTCCTTAGGAATAAGGTAAAGTAGTAATATAAATTACTAGCTGGCCTGGGTAACTACCCTGTATAATTACCAGAACAGGTGCTTACCGGTAAGATATAACTGTATCTGTCTCCCTTAACTTGAATTATAATAAAATAGTTAATTTACTTATTAAAATAAATATACTTTTACTTCCAGCTTAGGTATAATATATTATAGGTTGTAGATAAAGTAGTACTACTATTACCTCGGCTTACTAAGTACCCTAAAGCAGGTCTGATTATCCTACTTTATCTATTCTTACCCTGGTATAGGGTTATAGTCTCTATATATAACCCTTTAAGTATTCTCTCGGATATATTTTATTTCTTTAGGATTAGTTTCTTATTAGTAGAGGATAATATATTAATATACTGATCTATCCTAATAGTAGTATTAGTACTATTATCTGCCTATAGAGGTCTATAGAGCTAGGTTATATTACTATCTTTCAGCCTAATAGAGCGGGGTTAGTACAGAGCGATATTACTAATAAATATAACTATAAACTCTATATACTAATAGAGTATCTCTGGGCGTACTATCTTCAGCTTATTCTTCACTTTTATCTATACTCTCTAAATAGTATTTTCCAATCGCCTACTGTTATAGTATTCTAATTACTAGGATATAATATATTTCCATAATAACTATATATCCTCCTCTTTCCAGTTGTATAATAAATAATCAATATATCTAGTCGGCTGTAGCTTGATCGTGGTATTATTATCTGTATGATATATACGGGGAAAGGTATCTATTCCGGGCCGTGAGGCTTTCCCTACTATACTGGAATTAGCCCGGGAAGCAGACTACGAAACATCTGGCTTCAAATATGCTGGGAGCTCCGGGTCTCGGGCTCGGTCGCCTTGGGACTCCCGCTCGTTAATCTAATTACTACCCTAAAGGTAAGTAAGATATTACAGTATTATATAAGACATCCGTAGCGTGCGAGATGAAATTGATAATGCGGTAAATGAGATCAGAATCTGATACGGGAGCATTAACTTGGACAGTTAACTAGATTCTAGAATAGCAGTATTCTTATAGAGATTAGACTCTTGTGCGACGAGCTACTCTATAGCTATTAAGCAAAGGTGGAGGTATAGGAAGAGAGCAAGGAAAGTAGCTATAATGTCTTACTAGCCACCCTGTATATAAGTAAACCCCTGTATCTAGTAAAACGTGATCAGATTTATTTCCGGAGAACCGCTGAGGGTTTATCTCTCCTTATAAGCTACTATTCCAATTAGTAACTCTGCCTGCTTAGTTCATTCACCTAGGGTTCTAATAGCAGATCATAATCCTAAGGTACTATTTCCACTTCGAATTAAAATATATTTATTTTTGAGCGTTTTTCTGTAACTATTACTACAGGCTGTTTATAAGCAAAGCTTATATCTTAGTCTGCTATTCCAACGTAATGTATAAGAGCAAGTCGTCCTAGCCTTCACCGTACAGGGCGATAAGCTGCAACAGGTCTCAGATACAGCTCTGAAAGCAGAGATGCTTATCTGATATATACGGGCGCAAGCGCCGTCCTTATTGATACTTTGGGACAGCTTTGTTTCAGGGGCCGCGGTAAAAAAATATAAAACGAGCTTTATTTCTGAGCCTCCGTCACGTATATTATTGGCGCGTACTTCGTATTTTACTAATATTTCCTAAATTATAATGTGGCACTTTTCATTCATTATGCAACTTTTTAGCATAGAGTATTTTAACATAAGACTTTTGGCATGAGACGTTTTGGCATGAGACGTTTTGGCATGAGACGTTTTGGCATGAGACGTTTTGGCATGAGACGCTTTTGCATAAGATGATTGATTGCATAGTTATCTTTTTTAGGCTAATTTGATAATTCAAGTCGACTCTACTAATCATGTTCTTTTAAGATCCATTGTTCCATGTTGGTGCCATATCCTCAACTCTATCAATTGCCCAAACTGGTCGAAAGACAACACAATTGATCTGGTTTAATGTATCCGATGAAAGATGCACATAATAACGAGCCCCCTGCCGCCGAAGAGCTGTTGCATGCACAAGTAGAGTCGGATCCCGCTCCTATATATGACGAAACTGCCGATTTCTTAATAGACTCTTCTATTGAGGCACTATACCTGGCTCCCTGCTGAGATGGCTAGTCTCGAGAACAGCGATGCAGAGGCAAGGAATGAGAGTGCCAGCACAAGTCCGACCGCCGAGGATCCTCCCACCCCTCCGGTAGTAGATGAAATCTCCATAGATGAATAGGAAGCTGTTGAAATTATAGGCGAAGAGTTGATCAACGAGAGCTACACTATACAGTGGAGTGGAAACCAACCGCCGTATCAGAGGAGGAAAGATTTGTGACCAAATGATAGCATATATCCTCTGCTCTAAAGACAAAAAGATCTTTCGGTTCTTTCTACTTATATATGAGATTTGAAGCCTTGCAAGAGGGGAAAGCTATGTTCGAATCATATACTATATTTCGACTGGGTGTCAGAGCGCTAATGAACAGGATAAGGGATATCCTCCCTCTTGGGGCTTAACGCATCCCGAGCGACACTGAAGGACCTATACTCTGGCCGCGGTAGATGGATCGAGGCGACGAGTCGGGGGTAGCACGGCTCTCTCAACAACGCACGAAGTATGCCTCAAGTTCTCTAATGGGAAATCCTATTCCACCTGCACTGAACAAGCAAGTAATCCGGGCAGAATCAAATCCATCATTACAGGGCTTTTGCGAACCCCCAGATTAGCCGGCTGAAATATGCATTCCTGCCGATATTAGTGCAATAGCAGCAGGCTTTAGCTAGCTGCAGATCTTATACCTTGGTGGGCTTGGTGAAGTTTTTTAGGTTTTTTTTTTCCAATCCCAAGGATCGTACGACTTTGACATCAATCACAGTCAGTGTTACATGATCTACACAATTTGGGATGCCCTTGCGAATTGAAAATAGGCAAGCGACATCTAAACTTATCCACATCAGGAAGTATCACTGCCCTAGCTAAATCAGAGATCCCAGCCTATCCTTCTGATGATGAGCGTGAGGGCAACCAATTGATAGAAGACGCTAGATCGTTCTTCTTCACGTGACATCCGTCACAATGGTCCAAACCATGGCAGCAACCATGGTAGCTCCGCCTCCGATGAACAGCAAAATATAGCCCAGTATCATAAGCCAGATCGAAAAGATGTCAGAGAACCAAACTAGAAGTCAAATTGAAACGATAACCAAAGCGGTTAAAAATATTCAATATATTTGCCCGGCCTGGGTCGTCATCTGTCATTTCCCCCTTCCCGTAAATGCGCAAGGGCTACATCCCCTGTCCAACAGCTCTTCACTTGCTTCTTCCACCTGTGAGGGCACAGGCTCCCCATCCGCACGTTGGATCTTGGGATATAACATTCATCCTTCAGATTAAGCGCCCGGTAGAGCAGTACTCCGCGATGTGCATTGATATCGGCGCCCTTGTCAAAGAGAAGCTGCACGATATGTAATCTGAGCTAGGTCTGAGCCTAAACTGAGCTAAAACTACCACCACAAATAACCTAAATCTTGGTCCACATATAATAAATTTCACCACTATTTCCTTATACCATCACTGCAGGTTAAAGTACTATACCTCACAAGTCCTTCAGCCAAATCTGGCTCCAGTCGGTCTGATATGAGATATTCCTCGTGAATTGGCATTCGATTTTCTGGAGTAAATGCAGGCTAGCTTGACGGATTAGCAGCGATAAGATCCACCGCTTCCTCAAGCTTCAGAGGCCGTTCGCTGTAAGTCAAAAATTGTAGAAGGCGTTTCGCCGTGCTTAGTTGATTCGGACGTATCCGTCGTAGAATTTGTGCATGTGTCGCATCCATTGTCCCAGGCAGATTTTGTAGTTCTCTCCGCACGAAAGGCGGGTGTAGACATTGCTCCAGTGTGTCAAATTGGCACCGAGACCCAATAGAACCTATAGCAAATTTGGCCGGCCTTGAGGAATATCTTCTCCTACAAGGGCACCTGGCTCTGCCGGGTTGCGTTGCGAATCAACAGATATGCTCGTGGTTTTGCGGCGCTTACGTGGATATTGGTTGTCCTTGGCGGAGGCATCGTCCTGTAGGCTCATCTCCTCAGCTCCGATGGCAGAGGGGCAGTAGTCCTTATCATGGCACCGATTTGCTCCATGCCGATAGGATTCAGGTCTAGAAGTTTTTCCTAATACCCCTTCATGAATTTCTATATTATTCGACATTTTGCAGAGATCCTTCGGTCATTACAGGTCTCGACAAACTCTTCCAAATGCAAGCGCACCGCTAACTGGTAACAGTCATACCCGGTGTTGTCTAACAAGTATGGGTCAGCACCGGACTTGTACAGCAGCTTCGCGGCCTCGAGATTCCCCCGCCACACTGCCACAAACAGCGGCGTGGATGAGTGTCGACCACCTCTCTTGTTCACGTCCACATCACTCACGTGCCGTAGAAGAATCTTGAGGATCGATACCATATTATAGGAAGCAGCATAGTAAAGAGGCTCAGTCCGGTGAATGGTATCCAGATCTAACGTTCCCAGGAGAAGCTGCACCCACGCCCCAAATGCACCCGAGTTGGGGTTCCCCTTGGTTCTGAAAAACGTGAGAATATCATTCGTATCTTCCGGCTGCAAGTCGAATCGCTCGGAATGAATCGGCCACAGCTGCGAGGCATATCCAAGCAGTGGGTAATTGCAGATGCGAGAGTTGAGAGAGCGCTGTGTCAATACCGGTCCCGAGGCAAACTCCCGTAGGCTCAGATAAGTAAGACACTTGCGCATGATCTTCCGATGAACTGACGCGGGATCTACTGCGAATTCTGCCACTATAGACTCGCGAATCCAATCAGACAGAAGAAATGTTCGAATCGAGTCATGAGCCAGTGTCAGTTCACCCTCGTTATTGTATATCAGGCCTTGGCAAATTTCAAAGAGCACGGCCGGGTCGCCAAGTCTGGCATCGTTATCCAGGGAGGTGTCATCTTCGCGCAGAACCACGGCTTCAGCCAGCTCGCGCAGGCATACTGGACGAAGGGAGAAGCAGAGCCATGCGAGAGCCTCACGCGCAATCTCCTTGTCTTCGGGAGCAATCCGAGAAAGCATAGCGGCGTACGTCTCGTTAAGTGTCGTAGGGATGGATTTAAGCGCATCCTTCATGTGTTTGACCGTGCGATGGCGGCTGAGTTGATCCATGCAGAGCTTAGCCCACCGAAACCTAGTTCCCTGCTCAGCTACAACCTCATAGTGAGTCTATTAATGGAATACTATACACGCCGTCTGATGATGTGATTATGCAAAGTGTAATCTCGTTCCGACTGATCGGATCCAGCCATTTAAACCGGCTCTCAGTCTGGAGTCGCTGCCGGACATACATTTTGATGTCCAAATTTATCGCCGGCTCATTCATTCTTCTCACGAAAATGTGCTGTGTGTCCCGAAATGGCTCGCGCGTACTTGTAACTAAAACTCGCAATTTCGCGTGCTGCTCACACAGTGATATGAGGGTCTCGATTACTTCGTCATCATATGGCGTCTCGTTCAGGGCATCGATCATAAGATAGAAACGGTCGAATTTAGTAAGCAAAAACTGCATGGCCTCTCGAATTTCAAGGACAGTCATGTTGTTTTGAGGAATTAGCTTTGGGCCTACCTTCCCCATGGGCTGGAAGTACTCCACCACTTCAGGGTGGGCGGCTGTGATCTGTGCAAATATCGACCCGAAGATGTTGTTGGTCAGTTGCGATGCAGCCACGCCCAAAGAGCAGTAATGGAAGCCCACACCCTTATGCGTTGCTTTACTGGCTGCGCAATGGCGCTTCAGCTCGTCGATGATATTAGTGAACAAAATCGTCTTTCCCGATCCCGCTGAGACAAACCGTCAGTACCTGGTATCAAATTTCTAATATTTGAATCGGCTCGCGCACACTTTCCAGTTATCCAAAAGAGTGGCTGCATTAACGGAGCGCTGCTTTCCTCCCAAGCAGTCAGGTCGGTGTCCCAAATCCACTGACAAGTCCCGCTGGCTCGGTCCTTACGGGCTCGCTCGTGTTCTTCATCAGAGTTAACTGGGGCTAGCCAGTTCATGACCATATCTACAACCTTCAGCACGATTATTGGCAAATAGCTTGTCCTCAAATTGGGCAAGCTCAGACTAATGAGTCTGTGAAGTAAGGGTTCCTGGTACCTATAGTATGTTTCTGCGCAATTTAGCAAGGAACAAGCTGAGACAGCAGCATTGGACATACATTCACAAGTGTGGTAAAGGACGTTTCAAATTTGCCTGTGTCCATCAGCCATACTATGTCTTGATTCATTAGGCGAAGTCCTCGATATACACACTCTGTTTGAGACTCAAGTTCTTGACGCAATCCCGCAGCTTAAAATAACGCTCTTTGTGGGTTATATACCCTTGTGTCGCCGCTTCAATCGCGCCTTTCTTTCCGTACTCGTCAAGTCCAATGTTCTGCAGACCTTGTTCAACATTGAACCGGAAATACCGCTTCTCATCGAAATGTCCTGCATACTTCTGGATAAAGTTTCTCTCCGTGTTCTCTGTCTCCGTGGCAATTTCCACCACGGTCTGGCTAAGGAACTTGAACATGCCGTCGTCGAATGCCTTCTTCCCGGGACTCCCTGTCCCGATCGAGATGAAGCACTTGACTAGCGGCTTTAAATTCCCTGTCTCCGGGCACCAGATGCTGGATGCCTCGCCCTCCACCTCTTGTACCGGATTGTTTGCGCCCAGCCCGCCATCGGCAAACGAGCGATCTCCGATACGGACAGGATCAAAGAAGGTTGTGGCTGCAGACGTTGCGAGGGCAGCCTCGCATATCGTAGCTCGGATATCTGGCTCGTGAGGGAGACTGTAGCTTCGGAGGTGGATAATATCTTTCGTGTCGCGATCGGTGGTGCAGACGAAACTAATTTCGTCAGAGAAAGAACCGTCCTAAAGAACAAAACACTTACGTCCTGCACCCGCGATCCGTACCGTCATTGAACAGGTCTGCTTCTAATGCCCCACTTTGCTTGATTACTCTCTGGATCGCGCTCTTCGCCTTTGCCGAGTCGCATCGCGCGTTGACCTGGCCCTTGATGTTTACAGGAAACATACTGCGTTTCTCGAAGACTTCTGATGCAAGAACACTGTATGCCTTAATGCACTCATCCACATCCATATTGAGCCGGCCAAGCATAGTTGCAATTAGTCTGTTTAGCAGTCACTTTGTTGTACAGAGAACGTTGAAGAATAATCTACTCACCCGCCAGTGCTTGTGCCCCCGATAAGGTCAAACACTTCGCATGGTTTCACCAAAGGAAGCTTGCTCTCCCCCCGCTTGTGGTTCAGTCGATCCATGATACTTTTCAAAATATAGAGCGTCGAGAGTCCCCGCACGCCGCCGCCATCGAGTGAAAGTAGACAAAGGCCGGTACTGTCAAGAGGTTCTGGCTCGCCTCCATGCCTGTTCGGGATCGCTGTCTCCATTGCGTTTACCGAATTTGCGGTTGTGTTCGCTCACAGCTTTGTTCTCTCGAACGTCGAATTTATTTTAGGAGTTAGGGGGTCCGAAACTGGTGGTTTTATTATGGTAGAAGACGGAGGGTGCCCAGAACAACGCTCAATGTGCTGTATTAAGATCAAAGCTACTCCTAGCATTGAGAACCGTGAGTTATATATAGTTGGTGACAGCTACGACGCAAGCAAAATATGCAATCGTCATGAGACGTCAGCTAGGGAACGGTAGGTTTACATTAGAACTCAAACTTTAGAGCATTGAGAATTCGGTGCCAAGGAACATACATATTCTACTCTGGCCTGTCATTCAGCGCTATTATCCCTCGACAAAGGTAGATGTCGCGATAGGGGTATTTTAACTCTCTGAGAGATATGCTGCGCCACTCTAAAGAATATTTTCTTGAATCTAGACAATTCGATATGTGTTATGGCGGCTATATGCTTTAAGTGCTGCAAAGTTAGGAGCCATGGCCTGTAACCAGCTGACGGTATAGTCCTGTGGCTATATCCTAGAATTGGGTAGTAGTATCCGTGGTCTGATGAATGTGCCGTGGTTTGCTGATGGCGTGGTACGATGAGAACGGCAGTGTGCCAGGACGGCGGCATCATCATGCGATCGCCCGATGGCAAGTGGAAATAGTATGTAATAATGATGATATATTAATAATGATGATATTAAGTTTGCACGAATATCGGCCCAGTGGTTATGATGTAATTGCGTTGTAAAGTTTGAGTGGTTTGGTTACAAAGGCGTCAAAGTTACAGTCTACGTCGACTCTCGGTCTTGGAGGCTGAGAGGGAGGACATGGAGGACATGACACTGGGCGGCGCTGCACAAGGATACAACTATCTTCTAGTTCCATATGCTGGGTACGGGACCTATTGCCCGAAGGACGAACCATTAGAATACTCTGGTCAATGGTTGCCGTCTTTGAGCTAGCTCTCCCCTAAAGCTCATCGTTTCCTTGATTACATTGGATTCATGATATTCATAAGTCATTCCGTTCCCATGACACCCATTGCTATCCTCGCCAGTGACATTCTTAGGGCGAGGAGGCAATATCAGACTCTCCAAGTACGCAGTTTGTTACTAGCCCAGTCTCTTCCTGTGTAAATCTCCCCCTTCAATACACTTGTGATATGATCTGTGCAGCTCCATGCAATCACATGATGGACCATGTGCAACAGTTAAACCACTTGCGGTCAACCACCAAGTAATTGCCTGTATTCCTCGCTCAAACCTGAGACACACCATCATGCACTTGACCGTCCATGACGCTGTCATTCCTGGCAGTTGTGGGCCGGGGCTTACCTTTGGACTCGACAACTGCAACAGGGGACAGCGGGCGACTCGACATCTCCAGAGTCCTAGCCTGGGTTGGCAGTGTGGTATTCTAGCCACTTCATAAGCGAGTACATGGCAAACGAGAGGACCGAGCCCATGCAAGGTCCCAGCCAGAAGATCCAGTGATACCCGACGAACCCTGTGATGGCAGCAGGGCCGAAGGATCGGGCAGGGTTGATGGAGGTGCCGGTGAAGTTCGTGCCAGCAATATGTGCAATGAAGACAGAGATACCGATGCCAATGGGGGCAAGGAATGTGGCTCTATGCTTCTCGACCGCGAGGAAGTAGACGGTGAGGACGAGCTGGGCGGTGAGGAACATCTCGAGGAACAGACCCTGGGGGATGCTGGTGCCGTTGCTCAGTGCATCGGCCACACCCAGAGGACCCGGCAGGAGGCCATCTGTCACAGCGGCTGCTGCGATACCGGCGGCGAGCTGGGCAGGGACAATGCATAGAGCCCGAATGGGTGACACGGCTCCGACGAGGACAAGACCGAGTGTTACCTGAATTGAAGCAAAGCGAATCGGTTAGCAAGGCGAGACGGTACACGACGGGAAGACGATAATGAGAAGTGGGCAACGTACAGCTGGGTTGAACATTCCGCCAGTGACACGGTAGAAGATCCAGACATTCACGGCGACGGAGCATCCGAAGGAGGCGGCGATGTAGAGGAGAGTGAATGGCATGAGGGGAGCAGAGGGGTCGCTGGGATCATTGGTGTCGAGCGCAGCCTGGGTGCCGATGAAACCGAGGAGGAGGAACATGAAGGTGACGAAGAACTCGCCAACAGTGAGGACGACAAGGTTGCGAAGGTTATCAGGGATGACATGGCGTTTCCTACTAAGGCCGTGACGGTGGGGGCCGAGAGAGTTCTCTCTTGAGCTGGTCGACATGGTATTCAAAATGTAGGAATAGCTTTAAAATAATAAGGATGAAGGATAAACGGAGGCAGGTACTTGAAGAAGAGAGATGCGTGTGTTTCCAGAATAACACTGCGATCTTATGAGGTATGAAAAGGAAATAAGGTGAAAGGGATTCGGCTAACGAACGTGAGGCTAAGCAATCAATTTCATGATCAAAAGCGAGGTTTCATCACTCCTCATTCATTATATTACTGGGCTCGGGAGCAGATTGTTTAATTGGATATATTGCAATGTGTATTGTATACTTTTATTCCTAATTTGTCCAATTTATCCAACTATTGTATTTCCATTCGCGATGCTACAATTTCTCGGCGTGATATTCCTGACCTGCATTATATTCATAACTGAGACCACAGAGAACTCCCTATCTCCCACTCTTGGCACTTCAGCAATCTTCTCGACCTTTATAAACAGACTTACTACTTGCATGGCTGCCCGACATAGTGCTTCCGTTTTGTGTTGTGCTGATAGAAGAATCTCTCAGATCAACCTTACTGATTGTGCGTAAGTGTTGGACTGGCGCAGTGGTCTTTGTGCCCTAATACTTGTCTTTGACCCAGCGGAAGAGAGGCTGGAAGGCTGGGAAACAGGATGTCCAGACGCCGATGTGGCCTTGAAGAGAAGACTAGGGGCAGACGAAGATGAGCTTGAAGGATCTACAAAGAATTCACAAGTTAGATAATTGAGTGGGGGGGGATTGAATGGGAAGTAGAGTAGGGTGACTAAGTAAGAGGGTGATATGGGGGGCGTATACGTACGTGTCCACTGTAAAATCGGTAGTCACAAGCAAGATCATGTGAATAATGCTAATAATAACAGTAAAGACGCTGATAAAGAAAACCAGGATTACTTGGAACCTCTTGCAGGAGAACTTCATTGTTGACTACACCAGCCAAATTGGCAGAGCGAGAAGGCCAATATCAATAGTAACAATGATGAAAACCTGTGCCCAAATTATTTTTGCCTCTTCTGATTTGGGGATGCACTGTTGTTTCGGGTTCGCGAGATCCTATTGATTACTGGATGGCTATATGGCCGGTTCGGTCAGCCTTGATTGTCCCTGATCTAATGATAACATTTTATACGTACGGTATGTACTTGCACTCGGTGAGGAAGAAGAAAAAGGTGATTGTGGTGATAGCGAACGTAAGAAAGGTTAGAAGGTATAGCCCGAAGCGGAATTACCCTGATTCATCTTTTATCAGTAACATTTCTAGTATAACGATGAATTTTAAGGCTCAAAGAGAGACGAACTTTCATAGCTGAGTTTTAAGTAGCTGGTGACGACCGAGAATCGGACAAATCCAACGGATACAACGAATACCAGCTGAAACGTGAGTAGGATCTAGCAAGCGAGTAAGCTTCTTTGCTCCTCTAATACCGATATTAGGCCAGGTATGTAGATTATATTATACCTTGTAGAGTTTATCTAGCGCCTCGGGAGGGATTTGGTCTATATGCGTGCCTAAGCCCCGCTTGACAGCTATACAAATGCGATATTAGTTGGATAGACAAGGAATATATATATCTCTTGAAGCGTACCGAGAATTCCCTGATATGAGATCGAAATAACTCCAATCTAGAAGCAGGATAAGTTATTATGGTGAGCATCAGGGCTTGTGGTCGACATACCCATGCGATCGTTGCCATCAAGTCATCCCACCCCAGGGATCGAAGTAAGAAAATGCGTGTGTATAATCGTGTGATGACGAAGACCGAAGTGATTACAATCAGCCCAATATTAAGCTGTGTAAGTAAATAACCCCCGGAATCAGGGGGCGGCTGCCAATCTACCATCGTTTATATCGCTGTCGTATGTTTGAATGATATCCGTCGACTTCAGGGGCGGTTCGAAGGTGTGTGAGGCGACGTAGAGCTGAACTATCTTGAGCTACCGCCCGTCTTAAGAAATGGAGAAACAGCCAGTGTCCATGTACCTGGAGAATTGGCGGCAAGGGGGTTATATGTTATAACCGCAGTCAGATGCTTTCGGTATGGGATTATATTCCAGTTTACCAAGGTTCGATCGCATCCATCGCGGTGTTCTAAACTCTGTAACCTTGCAAGGGCGATGGCATGCACTCTTCTTTTGTTACTCGTTGGCCCACTATATGATCCGAGGTCAGCAGCAAACTATAATCGACGAGTGGAATGTCCTTTCGGGCTGGATTCATAGTCGTTTGGGGTGGAAATGGCGTAAATATGTGGCATCTCCCAATTTTGCCGAAGCACCGCCTATAGATTCGGCGTGCATTCGTTTTTCTCACCCAATTGATCCACTGATCGTAATAACAAGATTTTCCTTAGATGAATAAACAGAATAAAAGGCGGCCTCGGTAGCTTACTGATCTGGGCTCGTGTCTGTCTGTGTATGTCATCTGGAATTGCCTCCTGTGGGCGCCGGTTTGGCGCCGCCAGCGGCTTTATCTAGACAGCCCAAGAGTCCGAGACAATCTTACCTGAAAACGCCTAATCTCATCCGGCTGGTGTCGGCAAGCTCAAAAATGAAGCATTATTATGGGTGAGGCCTCTAACCCAGGCACTCGAAGCAATCGCCAAAACTAAAGCCGTCGGCGCCGGGAGACGCTTTCGTTAGATCGTTCATTGATGAGGCAGGTCTAGGACAGCGCAATTCTGCCTTCGGTATTTCCCGATCGTTTAAATTAATATCTCCTTTCCAAGCCATTAACCCCCTGTCTATATGACGAGTTCAAGTCTGTCTTTGCGAATTAAAACAGAATTCGGCGCGGCTCCATGCCCAGCACTTTGTCGCCAACACCAAATCCTTTATCTGCTGATATTCTATGGAGAACCCTTCCAAGGCACTGAAATATCTGGGGCAAGTCCTTTAAGTACTTAGAAGTGATTTTCATAGGGAAGAGAAGAGCTATGGGCCCTCTATGTCCATCTTCGCCTAGTAACAAAAAGTCGATATCTCGGCAAAGACCAACAGCGTGTTCTTGTGGCGTTGTATATCCTAGACAGACCATTGATGGAGATGATATTACTCCCTGGAGTAAATTTTCGGGTGGGTTAGTTAGTTCATCTAAAGATGCCGAGGTACAAACGCTATGGAGCAGAAGCTACACGACGAGAAAGTAGATGTATTTAAGGCCGAGACGGAAAGACTTAAACTACAGTACGCGGCCAAAAAGTGGTTCATTGCTCTCAGACACCTAAAGCGAATTAGCCTTTTCGGCTGGTATCTCCCAATAGCAGTCTTAAGTTTCTTGTATCTATTGCAGCTGGAGGTGGAACAGCTCGTTAAAGGCAAGTGACACTTTATCCTGTAATGATCCGACGCGGGTTTGGAAGGATATCTTAATACTTTATCGCTGTCCTCTAATATACCAGGGACTTGATAGAAGAGGACTTGCAGTTTATCCCCAGTGGCCTTGGTATCCGGTTCGACTTCCCAGGGTATTGTTTTCCACTCGTCTTGGTTAAGAAACGACCTTTCCCTTCTTGCGATAGCTGCTACTACCTGGTAAATACATATTAGGTCCTGCTTATTTGCACGTGCTTATCTCTTATCCACTCACAATAAAACTTCGGAGCACAGTCAATAACTCTCGGGCTATAGGCGACTGAAAGGCTGCCGGTCCAGCGTTTTGAGCCTTTTCAATTTCCCCCGTCAACATCAATATAGCCTAAGACTCTATTCGGTAGGGGTGAGACTATTTAGACTTCAAAATGCATTTCCGACTTGCCAAAGCAGCAATGCCAAGGGAATGATCAACCTAATTAATGGGTCCTATGCCTGACAGGAGCTCGTACAGTGCTAAGAATAAGCAGCTCCATATTGCAACATAGTGTTGTGCCCAACCTCTCTGGGAGCCAAGTATCCCCAAGTCACGCTGAAATGTATGCAGGGCCTGGTCATATAAAGTAGACGAATGCCGAACCATACTTTTGTCTCCATACATATGACCAAATATGGCCTCCGCCGAGCTTAGCCCGCATATGAAAGCCGGAGAATCTTTGTTCTTGGATGATAAGATTGTCCAAATTGATGGTGCGTCTTCTTTAACAGCAGGGACGTCTGGAACTCTTGGGCCTTGGGTAACTGTACCACTCAATGTTGCTATCATATAAGAAAGAATGTCCTGTGAAAAGGCCGATAGATTCAGACTTGCGGGGACTTCATCAGTCAACAATCTAGGATGCCTCCGGATGGCCCTGCTGTCCTCGGCCATGCGGGACGCTGTTAGACTCCACTCCGACTGGAATGTTTGGTTGGGGGGAACTGGTCTTGTGTGTTTATCTTCAAATACAAACACGGGAACTGTATCATATCCCAGGCATACGTGAAATCCCCGTCTACAACGGTCACAGACTGGTCACTTCTCATCTAAAGGCCGTTGGATCAGAATACGAATCCACACCGTACATGGGTAGGATTCCTTGCCTACCACATTTGACTCTTCGCTTCGGCGTCCACGGACCTGTCTCTCTGGTGACATGCTGAATTATTGATACATGGTGTAGGGACACAAGGGGGCCCATCGGTGTACGAAGTGTCGAACGGTGAGATGCTTCGTCATCGTCAGGGAAACTCAGGCTAGATTTGCCGCGTGGATTGAATGACTTGAAGGTAGCTATGAATGGGGGGGCATGTTGCTTATTACGACCTCGCATCAGCTTTCCAAGAACAGTAACGCCTGAAACTATGGCGTAATTCTGGGTCAGCTTCCAGTTAGGATCTTGCGCTAAACCAAAAATCGAAGGCCAGTGCGAGGTGAGTTGATAGTTGACCCAAGGCAAGATACCCAAGGAGATAATGAACAGAAGATGTCCAAATAATTGACTACTGGAGATTTTTCTATAAAACCTACACTCTATTAACTTATGATCCAACGAAGAGCATATTCAAACTAGATCGTTGAAGAAATCTGACTGAAAATCAGCCTACTCCCAAAAATGGCATATCTTCACTTGGATGGCGGTTGCCCTCCTGCTTGTTGATACTGTCCATCGCCTTGTCATAGGTATGACACAATACTTCGAGCCTCTGTTCCTCCCTTGAGCCGGCGGGTTGTCCCCGAAATCCTTGTAGTGCGCTTCGGATTCTCCTTGGCTTAACTTCGCTTTCAAGTAAGTCGAGATAAATCTTTGCCAAGAGAAACCTATTCAGGTTAGTTTATGCTATTCTTTGCCTTCCTTTAACAGGGCACATACATCCCATCAACAGCACCTGAAATTGTTTTCTTGACTTCCTCCAGCATCATTTGGATAGTAGGTGATGATCGTCTGTGGTACGAATTATGGCCAGGATCTCCCCTTGACTGTCGACTGTAACTCGAAGTTCTCCATATTCCGGCATTGACCTAACCAGCTCCTGATGAAAATAGAATGGTGTAGAAAATGGTTCAGGATACCGAGGGCTATCTTGGGTGGGAAGTATACATTGCAGAAGGTTTCTTGCAACCTTGTCTTGGAAATGTACGTCAGCTGCACCAGAACTTTCTGTTCGCTTTAGTACAATAGGAGTTTTTAGATTCATCAGCTTGCAGATACCCTGGCCAAAGCACGTCTTTGGCCGTCTGAGTCCGAGGTCTGCAGCGATTTCATCCGACACTCGGATATCCCCAATCTTCCCATTATACCACTGTATCTCGAACTCATTGGGATAGGCGCGCACTCGGATACCCAGCTGCTTCAGAACGTTAACTTATTTGTATAGATCCCGCAACTCAAATGCTTGAGACGCGTTCAGGGATACAAGAAGAATCACTTCGCTATAACGATAGCGAAGCAGAGTGTTAATAAATATATTTTTTACCTTCTCCTAATCCACAAAATAGATATTTGTAGCAGTATACTCGGCAGTAAGGAGTGCTATTATAACAGACTGGTGAATAAATGCTTTATCTTCACCGTGGAGTTCTATGAAGGATGAACCCAGGCGGGTTCTTATTGCCTGCAATGCACCTTTAGATAGGTAATAAGCATCTGGCTTGCAAAAAATTTCATTATCTGAGAAACATACTTTAATACTAGTGAATGGGTTTTCACTAATATACTTCTCGAGGGAAAGTCCGATCCAAAATGTATATTTTGTGGAGCTCTTGTAAGAAAGGAGTAGGTGGAGGAAAACTCTCCTCTATAAACTTAACAGGCCCCGTGATATACCCTTGTCTGGAGACACTATCTCGACTCCCTTATGAAAGGTGAATGCTGCTAGAAGTAGGCCAAAGTTAATATTAAGTCCGGGGAATACCGCCTACGTGGAGCCCGGGATACGGAGATAGTCTTCAATCCCGCGTTGCTTTCGCCCTGCAGGTGGACTTTTTGAGGCAAAAATAGAGAGATGATTACAGTCCCTAAGGATAGCTAAATCCTTGACTGATGAGAATATAACGGGCCCTACAATATTTGTTGGTATAGAACTTTGTTCATATTGTAGCAGCTTTATACTTTTTGTACTAAAGCTCTGTAGGATAGAGGCAATTTGATAAATATGGGAATCCGTGTGCTATTGCTCCCCTTCGGTAGGCTCAGATTTGGTAAAAGCCTTAAGAAAGAGGCTCTAAGCGTTGAAAGATAGCTGCTTTAGCCTATAGCCTAAAGAGAAGCAGAGCGCTCTTATGGCGAATTGTAGATCAGTGTTGATTCTGGTGCCTGCCTATCCTCTGTTGGGGTATAATACTATGAAAGAGTTAGGAAGTTAGGATAAATCTCTAGAATTCTTGATTCTAAATGTTGTTCTATTCCCTTTCGATTATAATATAACTCGCCACTACTGCGGTTATAGTTGATCAAGGCTAAGCCTGGCAGAAAATCGAACCAGATTATCG